ACGATGGGAGGAAATCTTCGATCGTGAGGCACGCGGAAACGAGGAAATAGAGTGAACGCTTCCTTTCATCGGGTTCGTAAATTTTTGCCCGGGAAACCGCACGCGGCTCCAGCTGGGGAAATTTCCGAGGAGACTACTGAATAACGCGGCGAGTTCCCTTTCAATCTTTTTCGAATCGTTCGATGTACGTACATAACCGGCGTGCGTTGTTATTTGCCTCGTGGAAATTTCACGGTGATGCTTGTCAAACGTTAAATCGAAATACGTGAATTGCTGTCTAAGAGAAATAAACGAACGTTGGTGGACGTTTACCAATGCCTGACGAGTAATTATAAAAGTGTGCTTTCAACGTGTTTTTCGTAGTGAACACGCTCGCGGTACTTGCGTGCATCTCTTCGAGCGTTAACGACAAACGTTCGAAAGACCAAAAAAAACGCTAAACGCTTGTCGAAAGTGATTGCACAACGGACGGCATCGCGTTTCGTAAGAATACAAGGCCGGAGATACTTCGATTCGATTTTCTTGCCCTGGTAATTGCGCGCAGCGATGCGCGTGATTTCTGTATAAAGAATTCCCCAGGATTTCCCAAGTTGCTCGATAAAGAATCCGTCACGTTTCCACGCCGGTGGAAGTCTCTCTTAGCTCACCGAACGCAATATTTGCTGTCACGTTTAACGCAAACGTACGTATAGTAGGATGCTTTAGGATTCCACGTACACACGAGGCTCGTGCAACTTCGTTGAAACGGATAAAATCCTCAAACATATATTGCCGAGTTAACCCTCCGTATAAACAAACGGTCCCTTGTTTAGACATTTCCCCTTTGCGTAACGTGAAGCTAACGTAAAAAAAATTGTAAGAAAGAGCTTGTCAATCCGCCAACGTTATTAATTATCGTGGAAGATGTTCCAGGCAGTGGGACCGGAAGTCAACCAGTGCCAAGGTAATGACTTACAATTAGTGAAAACGCTAGAAAGAAAAGGGGCTGGCGTTCTTGCAAAACGTTTGGATTAAGTTTGCAAAGACTGCGCACGGTGTAGCAAGTCATGATGAAATTGAATATTTCTTAGAATATGATTAAACGCTGCGAGACAAGGAAAAAGGAAAAGAAAAAGGCGAGTGAAAGTGTGGATATCTCGCGCTTCGTGGATAATTCTAATAACAATAATGCGATTAAAGTAAATTAACGATCAAGAGAACGGCATTTTATACCGTGTTCCATAACCGAATCATAATCATGCATTAATGAATTTGAATGTGCAACGCGTCTTGCTATCTAGGGCACTGTTCTCCTCTGCACATCTGAGAGGATTCTCAACTCGAAAGCATTGCGAAGCGATTTCTAACTCAAGGTTAAGTGTGCCGAAGAATTACAGTATCGAAGAGAGCTCGCGCCAGGGAATCAAATCATCGAGCTGAACTATTCAGAATCCTGAAACGAAATCGAATTTCTACGACAATCGAGTATCTACGTCTATCGTTTACGATCCCGAATCAGTCAGTGAGTGATGATAAATTACCCAACAAGCAGTCGATGTTGTGTTTTCTAATTGCGTAAAAAAAAAAAAAAA